TATTTTTCAAAAGATTATGCTTTTAACCCATTCACATATAAAACATTATGCAATGTTGATTATAGAGAGTAAGAGCACATGCATAAAGTTTTTGAAAATGTTATGCATTAAAACTTATAATATTTAAACAAAATCTATGCATAAACATTAAAAATTTCAGATCAAAATTTTGCAAAACCAAAGTTCTTGAAAATCAATATCAATTATTAAAGAGATATCAACTACATTTTAAAAAAAATAATTTTGAGCAAAAATTAATATGATGAACTAGAGTTTATAAAAAAAAATTACCATGTTCATCATACAATATTTTTCAACATACATGAGACAAAAACATAATCATTTAGAATTATTTAACATTTAAAACCTCATGCATGCATAGATAAATGAGCAACCAAATAAAATAAAAAAAAATTAAGTTTAGAGGTTACCCATTACTTTTCATGTGTGGCTAGAGCATCTCGAATATCATCAACTTCATCACCATTGCTCCACACACCTACAAGAGACATTTAAGTAGATTTTGGTATCCAAATTGCTTTGGATCTTGAACATTAGTTTCAATGCCTCTTGTTCCTTTTGGAATCCATACTTGTCTAATTTTAAATCGTTTTCCTTTCTTTAAAGGACAAGTATGTTCCTTATGACCATGATAATGACAATGTGAACATATTGTCATTATTGAACTAGATGAATTATTTAGAATTATCTCTTTTTCTTTGTTAAACATTCAAGCTATCTTTTAAATTGAAATTTTTTTTCAATACTTTCAAATTTCATTTTGAGAGTTCTAAATCCTTCTTCAAGATTTCATTTTGATTTTCAAAATCCATTTTCATTTCTAGAAGAAGTTTGTTTAATTTGAAAATTTCTTTTTCAAAGTTTTCAGATTTTATTTTTGAAAGCTCTAACTCCTTTCTCAACATTTCATTTTGATTTTCCAAGTCTGTTTTAGCTTTCAAAAGAAGATCATTTTTAGCAATAAATTTAGAAATCAATTTATTGTATTTGGAGTTCATGGTCTCAAACTCCGAAAATAATTTATCATAAGTATCTTGTAACTCATTAAAAGATTTTGAATTGATATATTTGAGTTAGAAGATACTTTGGCTCTGTGAGAGCTAATAGAGACATCACTTTTATTGGTTCTTCTTCTTCCTTGTCTCTATAGATCTCCTCAAGCTTATCCCACATTTTCTTGGCACTTGAACAAGAAGAAACTCCTTTATATACATTAGGATCAATTGCACACACAACATGTGCATAGCCTTTGAGTTTTGTTGAGCTTCATTCCGTTCTTGAATACTCCACTTCTTGCCTTCTTAGTAGGAGAGGAATATTCTTTCTTGATTATCATCCAAGCTTCCATATCAAATGCTTTGATGAATATCATCATACACCTCTTCCAATGACGATAATTTGTTCCATGAAGTGTGGAGGCACGTCAATTGGTCTGGATTCTTCCATTGAGAATGAACCGGAAGTGGACGCCATCTTTATCGATTTAACTCTTCCCGGATCGACTCAAGAGGTGATTAAACCTTCAAATGAGTTAGGCTCTGATACCAATTATTGAGTTAATCGATCGACGAAACGGCCAAGAGGGGGGTGAATTGGCAATTAAAAATTTCGTGGAAGCTTTTGCAGAAAAATTGAAAGTAATTGCACACGATTTACAGTGGTTCGACTTTCTCAATCAAAGTCTACGTCCACTACCTTAGCTATCCACACTAAGGATTTTCCAACAAATTCCTAATTTTTCTTTCTTTTGAGGCCAAAGAGATAACCTTACAACACCCTCAAAATATACCCCAATTTTGAGAACACTCTTCCCAAGAGAAGATTACAAATTTGCAAACTTACAAGGAAAACCTCACAAGGTAAGATGTTTGCACAATTCTAGAACAAGAAAGAACACTCAAAGATAATTACAAATGAGCACAAATGGTGTTCTTGAAAGCAAATGATATTGAAAGGAAAATTGCTTGATTTGCACAAACTTGGTGTTTGATGCTTTCTCTCTTGTTTCTCTATGATTTCTTGTTGATCAAGGGCTTTAGAACTTGTTTAAATACACCTTGAATCACTTCTGAACGTTGGGGATGATTAGTGAAGATCATATAGCCGTTTTAGTGTAAAAACAATTAATAAAACAGTTTGGAGCGTGGGGGGAATCGGTACCCCTTATGGGGAATCGGTTCCCTAAGTGTAAATTCAAATATTTTGACCGTTGAAAGGGAATCGGTACCCCCTATGGGGAATCGGTTCCCTCCGAGCATTCTGGAAATCTCGGAGCCAAACCATTCAGGGGGAATCGGTTCCCTTTGAGCAATCTGGAATTTTTGGCTTTGAAATGGTTCGAAATACTTTGAAAGATTATTTTGAAATTGTTTTAAGATTAAAACTTAATTTTACACTTAAGTAAGGATTAAAAATGATTTTTGAAATATTTTGAGTAATGTTTTGATATTCGAATAATTATATCGAATATACTTAGAAAATCATTTTGGAAAATCTTAAAATTCATTTAACTTAATTTGTTATATCGAAATATCAAAATGTTTTCAACACAACTACTTTGGCTATTTTGAGCAATCTAGGGGTTATAAGTTTTATGATCTCATAATCAAAAATATTTTTAAGGTGAGATCTATAACATTATTTTAGATTATAACTCAATTCATATTATCACTTTTTGATGATATCCATGTGTTCATACGTGTCGTTAATCAAGAAGTGAATCTAGAATCTCAACCCTAGGGAAAAACAAACTCAACAACCTCAAAGAATAAGTGTCATTCAGAAGATCCACAAGATAAGAGGAATATTATTTTAGATTATTATGTTTCTACAAGAAATAAGGATGATATTGGAATGATGGAATATGATATAATCAACTTTCGTCATGTTATAAAACTTCTAGCTCTCAAAAGTGGATTAATGACATGTAAGAAGAGTATAAGTTCTATACAAGATAATAAAGTTTGAGAACTTATCACATTACCCGAAGGTGCAAAGTTTATTGGTGGCAAATGGATATTTAAAACCAAGATGGATTCAAATCGTGATGTTGATAGGTATAAGTCATTTCTTGTATCTAAATAATATATTAATAAAGAAGGCATTAATTTTGTAAAGACTTTCTCTTTGGTTTCATTAAAAGACTCTTTCAGGATAATGATGAAACTTATTGCTCATATTTAATCTTGAGTTACATAAGTTGGATTTTAAAATGATAACATTGATTAGATATTTTATAAGGTGCAATTAGAAAATTGTGTCTGATGATATAAAATTAATGATATGCAAATTAAGGAAATCCATTTATAAGTTTATGTATGACTCTCATTAATTGTATAACAAATTTCTTCAAGTGACTATCTCATTTGGTTTTGAGATAAATTTGATTGATAATTGTATATACTATAAGTTCAGTGGGAGTAAGCCAAATAATATACCTTATTGCTAAAGGAAACAGTTTAAACTTGATTAATGCCCTAAGGATGATTTTGAAACTAAAGAAATACGGAAAAGTTCCTTATGCTTTAAAATAAATAAAAAAATTAATGTATACTCAGGTTTGTACGTATTCAAACATAACATATTATTTTAGGATATTAAGCAGGTACTTAAGAAATTTGGGTATGAATCGTTGGATAGCATCAAAATTGATTCATACAATACATTAATGAACAAAAAATTTACATGCTCGCATATCGGAGGTCTAATAAGGAAGAGATCATCAGGTTTATGGACTCCGATTTATTGGAATATGGATGCAAAATTTTGTCACATGAACTACTAATTATGGATTGATAAGAAAGATCACTTGAGTTATTTTGTGACAACTAAGTTGTAGTCCTTCATTTCATATATATAACAGAAACACCTTAAAGTCTAAGCACTTAGACATTATGTTAAAGAAAATTCAAAGTAGTTATGTGTTTATAGAGCATATTGATACAAACTCATAATTGCGCTTACTAAAGAATTGTCACCCACGGTCTTTCATGAGCATACTACTCATGTAGGTGTAATATCATTTAAGGATATTTGGTTTTAGTTGGAGTTTATATTTAATGCTCGTTTCTTATAAACACAATTCTAATTACTTTAGTTTAAGGATATTTATTTTAAGATTATTTTCTGCAGAAATAAAGTTTATTTTGGTTTATCCACACTCTGATTTTGGTAAAATTTTATCTCACTAATGTTTAAAGAGGTTCAGTTGGAAATAGACGTGTGCGTTCATATTGCATATAATTTCCATGTTGCACTCCATGATTGATCTATGTCATTTGATTGTGTTTGTATACATGACCATTGATGGGTCTAGCCATGATTGATATGGCAAAGACCGCTTTGATCCTATATGGATATAGTTGATGGACAAGATTGTTATAGAATACTTATTATATGATAGCAAATTTTGAGCTCTTTAGGTTGTGCATTTTTCAGGAAACATATGATGCCTTAGTGAGAGATTGTTGTATTAAAATCTATATTTTTAGGCACATATATATAATGTACAATGTTATCATAAAGTATGACACAAAATTAAGTGACCAATTATGTTACATGTGTTATATGTATTAAAGTGTCATGGAATCAAAGTGTAGATACCATAAGTTGTATTTATAATTTGATGAGGGGCAGAATTATAAATACTTAAAAGATTGACCTAATAATCAATCTATATAAAGAGGTAGTGGTCCCCAAGAAATATGTTAACTTGTATTACTTTTATCCCGTCAGAGAGTTTTTACAGAGAAACAAACCTATCTTCTTGAAAGATCACAACCAAATAAATACTCAAAGATTTTAACCTAGCAATTAATTTAGGTAGACTTCTGCAAATCTATTTTTTTTCTTGATGTTTTTACATGATTTGATCCTGGTTGATTTTCATATTTATTATGATTTTGGCTCTAACAATAACAACAATCTCTTAACTACTGACGTCAGTTGATTCATATGATAAAATTTTATTTATAATTATATAACAAACATATTACCTTAATCTTTATTTCCAATCGAACCAAAGTAGCTAATTATCAAACAGAGACGAGGCTTTCGACATAAATCACAGTGGAAACAAATCGGGGTGCACCTGCAATACTCAGCGTCTCTCCTGTTTCATCCTCCAGATTGAACCATGCAGGTTGCCGACAGCCATCATCGATTAACACTTTATCGCCATTCTTCGAGTACCCCACGGCTCTACTATGAAAAATGTTGGTCAGCCATTCATCTCGAGACAGGTAAAGCTGTTTGGTCCACGACTCTTTCACTCCATACTCTTTCATTACCCATACATATATATAATCCCTTACCGGACAATTCGAGTAATCTCGAGAAACACATAAACATCCCCCAAGCACCCCAGCATTCATGTATCCAAAATGCTCACAACAAAAAACGCCGCTACATTCTTTATTTTTTATTCTTCTGTCGCCTTCAGGAACATCATAGTATTTCTCAGTGGCGAGATCGAGAGCGAAGATCACTTGTCCTCTGTGGAATTCGTCTATTTCATCGCCTACCCAATGAAGTGCATTGTTTACGTACGCGCCGTCGTTGTAATTCGTCGGGAAATCGTAAGGGCAGTCGTCGATTCTCTTCCAGGAATCAGCTTTAAGACTGTAGACCATGACTTTGAAGGAATTTTGTGTCTTGGATCTCAGCATTTTCACCACCTTGTAGTCGTTGCTTATTTCGTCGTACCCGAATCCAAGCACGGTGTTCTTATCATAGTGATGTCCAGGTAAGGCATCATGATCGTTGGCTATGTCGTCGTCCAACGGCGGCAGATACCGGCATTTTCCGGTTGATGGATTCCACAGAGCAATGCCGGATTCACGGTGGTAAACGGCGAGTAAACCGTTACAAGAACCAATTATTCTTGAACGGTATTTGGTGATTTCTGCCACGAAAGGGCGAGGGAATCGGACCAAGTTGTCGAGAGAGTCGAAGTCCACTGCATAAGCCTTGTCATCGCATTCGATACAATTATCAAGGAAGAGCTTGACGTTGGTGCCATTTCTCAAGGAATGCTGGAGATGGAGTTTAGTGAAATGCGGGTCGTCGATGAGGGAACGCCATGTCTTGGCTACACATTTGAAGCGGAGGAGCGTCTTCACCGGAAACCGACAAAGTATGTCGGGGATCAAATCAGATAGAAAAGGAGACATGATTGGATTCTGTAAGAGAAACACAAGGTTTGGCTGAGGATTTTGTAGAGAAACGGCAAGTGATTCAAAACCAATGAACAAATATGAAACAATGGATTCAGCTTAGCTGTAAACCTGTTGGTGAATCCATTACCAGACCCTTGAAGTCAAACCTTCATGTGCCCTTCCATTATCGTCCTTATCATTATCATTAGTGGGATTATTTTTATTTAATTGGTTGTTCGAAAGCTTCAACTAATTAAATAGTCGGTGTCGGTGCACTTCATTTATTAGATGTATATTTTCATATCTGAAGGAAAGTTGACCGTGAAATTAATTGTTGAATTCTGGAAATATTCAAAGAGATCATGTGGTCCAAAATTTGCATGGAGACAAATGCTATGGCTGATAGTATATGGCTAAAGCTGGGTGCCTAATGAGTACAGGTTTTCATAGCATTCTCTCAATAAATCAGAAATAGTTAGGCTTAAAGGGAAAAATCCTTAAAATAAGTTTTTTTTCTTCTTCTTCTTTCAATTACATACAGTATTTTAAATAATAATTAATTTTATTAAATAAAGATGGATACTAAAATTATAAGAAGATTTATATAAATTAAAATAGACGATTATATCAACTGAACATTCTTTCATTATTCATTGCAGTGCACAAACTAACATTTAAGGAGAGTTTTTTTTAATTAATCTGAGATAAGTACAAGGTAATATCTATTTAAATATAACTCTCAATCATTTAACATTGAACGCTCACAATGAGATCGCTTGATTCGTGCAACATTTAAGGAGAGAGTTAAAAACTCAATCAAACAACTCAAAACTTTTATGAATATACATAAACATCATTATTGATGGTGAAAGATAAACATCAATAATAATAATAATATAAAAAACATATAACAATGATGACACTTCGACCCTAGCGGAGCCAATATATATAGACACCTCAATAAGAACACTATGAGGGACAAAAAATATCTATTCTAATGTTATCAAAACTTTTTGCGTAGTTTCGGTTTTTACTCTTCTTAAACTCTCCAAGAAGCTCTTAAATCATGTTTTAATCATCTCAAAAATATATTCATAAACATTAAATACTTAACAAACATACATAAATTCTCAATAAATAAAAAAGTGAGATATACATTAAGTTGATTAATATATAAGCTAAAAATCATTCAAACTCAACATCTTAGATCATTTTAATAGTTTAGCCAATGTAGTTAATAATCCTTTAGTTTAGGCTTCTAGATCTTCAAATTCCATCCATTTTGTTAACCACTATTCATTTTTGAACTTAAAACATGCTAGTTAGACCATTTATATTTAATGTCTTATCAACATTGTATCAAATATTTATGACTCAAATACATAGACCTAGTATCATGGCAACATATTAGGATAATTTAATTACCTCGCAAAGCATATATCAATATTCAATCAGATAAATTTATATAATAGCACCATTATAATTTAACATTAACTCAAAGTATCATAAGAATTGATTTGTGAACCTTAAATGTAATTTAAAGCATTCTAACACAATTGAGCTCCTAAAAACAGTTAAACGGATAAAATAAACTTTGAAAAAGCTCAATGAAATAGTTGAGATAAAAATGAATCGAAACAATTAAGGGTCGTTTAACATAGTCACTGACGATCGAACCAAATATTTTTTAAGATATTATTTAGGTATTTTGTTATAGTTCACCAGCAATATATGAGATGCATATATTAATGGCGGTATCAAATATTATTTTATTTAGGGTAATCCCTTTTAACACAAACGAGGATCAGTCTTGTTAATAAGTTAAAACATGAGCTTCCTTTGTTGTCAACGAAATATCAACACCATTAACATGTATTATTAATACATTAAGATCAAAGCCATATAACAAAAAAGAAATCAAGGTTTTTGGCCCTGCATCATTGAACTTCCTACCAGGAGCAAAACGTACACCAAAAACGACTAAGAACGAACATGATAAGCATCCTCGAATTCAACTCCACACAAAGGGCACCTGAATTGGTTATCTTTAGAAACTATACTATTTTAGTATTTATAAATGTGAATCTTCTTCGTCTAGATTCACATATTTCATTCCAAATCCCCCTCCTAGTGAAATCCAGCAATGGCTACTTTCCAGACCGACATTATCACCTATATATTTAGTCCGACAAAAACGCTTTTACGCTTCAAATGTCAGTCGAAGTCATTGAGTTCCCTCGTGCATGACCCTTGTTTCGCTAAACTCCATCTCCGTAACTCCTTCAAGACCAACGCTAATGTCATGACAGCCACACAAAAGATCATGTATATAAGACCTATTAAATCAACTTGGACTCGCTAGGTAACTTGGAGGAATTCTCTCGCCCGCATTCGATCACAAACATCGGAGTTTCTTCAAGAATATTTGGTTCTTGTAATGGTTTACTAGCCATATACGACAACGAAGAAGGCATTGCTATGTAGAATCCATCGACCAGAACATGTCATCATCTCCCGAAATTAACAATCGGGGACGTGTTTGACGGTGCACCCAATCACTTTGCTGCAATGATTGACATACAAAGCCTTGCTTCTCCGGTTCCAATTCATTACTGTTGAAAACATTTTGATGTTTCGATATAACAAACTAAGTATAAATGAATTTTAAGATTTTACAATGATTTTCTAAAGTATATTCGATTTAATTACTCGAATATCAAATTATTACTCCAAGTCTTCAAGATCAATTTCAAACCTTACTAAATCTGTAAATTGTGTTTTATACTTAATATATTTTTGAAACAAATTTCACAAAGTATTTTGAACCAAAATCAAGCCTAAAATCAATTTTTCAAAGTGATGCACTGATGCACCAATCCATGCATCGATGCACCATGGAATAAATTGAACATCGAATGCATTTCATGCATCGATGCACATACTATGCATCGATGCACTCAGAGTTTTATGAAAACATCGAATGCATTTGATGCATCGATGCACCAGCCATGCATCGATGCACTCTGGCTATTTTGAAACATCGAATGCATGTCATGCATCGATGCACTCTTATGCACACCGATGCACTAAGGGTCCAACGATCAAATATTGAATTTTACACTTGATGCACCGATGCACCTTGGGTATGCATCGATGCACTGACGCTCCCAACTGATTTTATTAATTATTTTCACACTTAAACGGCTCTATTGACTCCACTAATCATCCCCAATGTTCAGAATCATTTGAAGGTGTATTTAAACAAGCTTAGAAGCCATTGATCAATAACAAGAAAACACAAGAAACAAGAATCAAGAGAGAATCAAAGAGAAAGCATCAAACCTCAAGTTTGAGCATTTCAATCCTATTTTTCATTCAATATTCATTTTGCTTTCAAGAACACTACTTGTACTCAATTGTATTCATTTTTAGTGTTCTTTTCTCTGTTCTAGAATTGTGCAAACAATCTACCTTGTGAGGATTTCTTTGTAAGTTTACAAATTTGTAATCTTCTCATTGAGAAAGAGTGTTCTCAAGAATTCGAGTATATTCTTGAGGGTGTTGTAAGGTTATCTCTTTGGCCTAAAAAGAAAGAAAAAATTAGTGAATTTTTTGGAAAATCCTTAGTGTAGATAGCTAATGTAGTGGACGTAGACTTTGGTTGAGAAAGTCAAACCACTCTAAATCGTTGTGCAAATCTTTTCAATTTTCTGTAAAAGCTTCCACCAAAATTTTAATTGCCAATTCACCCTCCTCTTGGCCAATTCCATCGATCGATTAATTCAACAATTGGTATCAGAGCCTCACACATTTAAAGGTTTAATGGACTCTTGAGTCGATTCGGGAAGATTTACATCGATTATCAAGTTATCAATGGCCTCTACTTCAAATATCGACTCCAGTCTCGATTCGATGCCCGTCAACAAGCCTCCTTTCTTCAATGGAGCTAATTATGCCTATTGGAAGAATAGAATGATGTATTTCATTCAAGCAAGTGACATGGGAGCATGAAATGTTGTAGAAGACAGATATATTAAGCCTCTCACCCATCCAAGATTGTGGAGTGAAGGAGAGACAAGAATGTTCCAGCTTAACTCCAAAGCCATCCATATCATATTTTGTGCTCTTTGACCAGATGAATATGGAAGAGTTTCATCTTGTACAACCGCCAAAGAAATATGGGATAAACTACAAGTCACTCATGAAGGCACCGACGAGGTAAAAGAATCTAAAATTAGTCTTCTAACACATAGCTATAAAAATTTCAGGATTACACCAAATGAAGATACCAAAGCTATTACAGATAGATTCTCAACGATTGTCAATGGTCTTAAATCATATGGAGAAATTATTCCAAACGAAAAGCTTGTGAGGAAGTTAGTTTACTCACTTCCAAAATCGTGGCAATCCAAGAAGTCGACAATCATCGAGGCTAAGAACCTAAAATCCTTAACTCTTGAAGAGCTAATTGGTTCCCTCCTCACTCATGAAATGATGCTTGAAGATGAGGTAGACCTCGATAAGATTGATGAGACACGATAAGATTGATGAGACACTAAAGGAGAAGGAGAAAAAGAAAAACATTGGAGTTGCTCTCAAATCCATAAAAGATGAGAGTGATTCGGATGAAGATGACGAGGAAATTGCATTGTTTGCCAAATAGTTCAGAAAAATGATGAGACCTTAACGAGGAAGAAAATTCAAATGAAATGAAGGCCTCAAAGATGAACCAAAAGAGGAGGACCCTATCATTTGCTATGAATGCAAAAAGCCAGGGCATGTTAAATATGATTTCCCATAATTGAAGAGAAAAGGTCAATCAAAGAATAAGCACAAGGCTCATGTGGCTACATGGAGCGATAAAGAAGGTTCCGATGAAGAGGAACAAGAAGTAGCAAACTTGTGCTTGATGGCATTCGGGGAAGATTCTAAGGTAACCTCTAACTCATCTAAATTAGACGATTTATCTTATGATGAGTTATTAGAGGAATATAATGGGTTGGCTTCGTATTATGAGAAATTATTTTTAAAA